TTCTTCTTCTTCTTCTTCTTCTTCTTCTTCTTCTTCTTCTTCTGCTTCTTCTTCTTCTTCTTCTATGATGATGATTATTTTTATTCTCACTACCTCCCCCCTCCTCAAACAACATTCTTTCCAGTTTTTGTAGTTGTTGTTTTTTCTCTTCTTTTTTTCTTTCTTTCTTTTCTGTACAAAAATTTTTTTTTTTATAAATGCATGAAAACAAAAGAATCGATTGTAATACCCAAAGATAATAGTTTCTCACCGTTCCGAGCGCCCTCTCTATGCCGATATGTTCCATGACTGTGACAATCTTCTGATAAGCCACCAGAATCTTCCAGATGGACGCCATGTTGGATTCTTTGATGGCGCCGTACATCCACTCGATGAAGCGCTCAATGAGGAAACTATAGAACTCCATCTCTACGTAGATGTCGTAATTGCTGGGATCCAGATTTTGTCTGGGGGAAATTATGGGATGAATACCATTAGGAATCTTACGAGAGGACGACTATTGCCCCCCCCCCCCAAAAAAAAATAATTAAAAAATCAACATCAAGTGGTACATCTGCTACAGACATCGTCGATCAAGGTCCGTCATTCATTCATTTTGCTCGAATTCTCAAAAAAAAAAAAAAGGATATTATTATTCTTCTGATCTTTCCCCATCACTCATAATATCATGTTCAGGCTTTCCCAAAAAAGCAGCATTGGGTCTATCCCTGCATCGTTTGCCTTCAGTCTTACTTGTGAGAGATGTTCGCAAGGTCCTCCTGTCGATTTGAGTGTCCCAGAAAGTGCATTAAAATTTGTCTTTTCCAAATTGCTTTTTTATTGAGCGCCCACATGGACTTCTTCATAAAAAAGATACTGTCCTGTGTGATTTCTTTCAGACAAAGCACGAGAGTGTAAAAAGCAAGCTCAGTACATTGTTCAGCTAAAATTTCTCACTTTTTGGAGGGTTTGACACGACATCTGATATCGAGGCTGCTGTAAAATGTTTAATTTCAACCCAAAATAATTACGGTCAGTGCTCGTGTTTTGTGCGTAGACTTTCAGTACTATTTCGTACTAATTCCGGTTTTCACTACGGAAATTCACTACTTTCAATAAGAGATTCACACCAAGACAGTAAACAAAGAGCTGGTACAAGAGCTCTAAGCTCTCGAGAAGTAATCTTCATTGTTCTCGATGACACTCAGTCTCATTGTGGGCACAAATTGTGCAGTCCACTCTGAACCATTGAGGATGCTATACAAAAGATCTAATCGTGTCTTACACTTTTAGACAAAAAAATAACAACCCCAAAACAAATGGTTTAAATGAATTCCTCTCTGTTTCTAGTTTTATTTTTATTGGGAGTTGTTGACAATGTGTTATCAGTATCTTCTGTTTGAATAATAATAATAATATGTATGCGTTTGTGTATGTGTTAGTGTGAGTTTGTGTATATATACATATATATATATATATATATATATATATATATATATATATATATATATATATACGTGTGCGTGTGTGTGCGTGTGTGTGTGTGTGTGTTTGTGTGTGTGTGTGTGTGTGTGTGTGTGTGTGTGTGTGTGTGTGTGTTAAATAAACCAATACGTCTTCAGTAAAATGACAGAGCACATTTGAGGTGAGTTACCAAACATGGCTTTCCCCACCTCCTCCTTTGATTTGGACTTTTCAATTTAGTTCTCATGCACAGGCATGAGATTCCGTTAGTCGGGCTTCTTGCTTCCTCTTCTTCTATAGCCATTACGGCATAATTACATATCACAAGGCAAACAACAGTCACTGGCCTAACTTTGGTCTCTAATAAATAGAGGGGAAAAAGTCTTTTGGTCAATCTGGGCTCAAATGAAAATTTTAACCAAGGCTTTTAGACACAAATGGTAAAGAGAGATATCAGAATGTATCTGAAATAGTGTTTTAAAAATTAAAAAGCTATACTTCTGATTCCGTTGCGAAGCTTGTTGGAAAAAAGAAACGAGGAAGAAAATCAGTTTTAAACAGTTATTGGGAAGTTAAATTTGAAGTAATATCGTACGTCTTAAGCTTACTTATCAATTTAATAACCCAATTAGTATTGCATTAGTGTCAGCTGTCTTTAAAGGAAAAAAGAATTCTCATACGTATTCGAACAAGGAAACATGGGTTTAAGGATGTGATCGTCTGAGCATGGGTTGGACCCATCAGGCGACAGCGAGACAAAGTCTCCTAAATATAATTAATTGTGTTGATGGGGGTGAAACAAAAACAGCAACTCCACATTTTAGAAAATAAATCAAGACTACAGGCTACTTACTTACATATGCTCGTTGAGAAACTTCTTGAATTCTTTCCTCGACAGGAAGATGGGCAGGGTCGAAAACAAACTCTTAAATGATCAAAACTTTGAAAATGGGGGAGGAAAATAACCTATAAATGATTAAAAGAAAATAATAATACATGTAATAAACTACAGGTGACTTGGTTACCTATGTTCGTTGAGAAACTTCTTGAATTCTTTCCTCGACTGGAAGATAGGCTGGATGTCGTTTCTGACTGGCCAGTCTGAAAGATGGTCCAGCGCCTGGTCAGTGAGCAGATACTCGTTCATGAGGAACGTCTTCGTCTCGGGCCCCAGGATGGACAAATATAGCACGGACATGTCGCGTTCTCGCTGGATCCGATCGAGGAACATGCCGATCTCCACACTGAACTCTACGGCATATTGAGTCTGGGTAGATTTTTTTCGAAAAGAGAGAGAAAAAAAAAAGAGCTCAAGACTTGTTTTTTTTTAGGTGAGGATCTTTTGAATTAGGTGAGGATCTTTGAATATCACAACCGGTGCCCTTTCAAGTAGGTGCTGAAATACTATCAGCATGCACCTTAACTCTATTTACGGTGTTTTTTTAATGTTAATTTTCTTCTTTATCTTCTCTGACATGGAAACGTTTATATGTAAGGGAAAGTGCGAGAGAAACAAACACGTAAATAGGAAAACAGTGGAAAAAGAATTAGAATCAGACAGAGTAAGGCTATTGATTAAACACACATGCAGAAAGAAAACACTCACCGCCCCCCCCCCCCCCCCCCCACACACACACAGACAGACATACACATATGCACACATACTCACAGACACGACAGAGAGAGAGAGAGAGAGAGAGAGAGAGAGAGAGAGAGAGAGAGAGAGGGGGGGGGGGGGTGTGTGTGTGTGTGTGTGTGTGTGTGTGTGTGTGTGTGTGTGTGTGTGTGTGTGTGTGTGTGAGAGAGAGAGAGAGAGAGAGAGAGAGAGAGAGAGAGAGAGAGAGAGAGAGACGGAGAGAGAGAGAGGGGGGGGGGGGGAGAAAGAGAGAACAAAACAAGCTGAGACTGATAGCTCGACACACGCACACATTTCAATGTAAGACTGCTCACACTAAAAACAAACACACACTCACTCACTAACCCACCTGTTCGATGTCTGATTTGCCCTGTATACTGTCGGACAAGCTGTACACTGTGAACGCCCATAGACCAAGAATGGGCAGAAGGGTAAGGGAGAGAATCTTCAGCAGTTGTAGTCTCTTGCCAGTGTCTGTGAGCGGTTCGCCCCTACACATACCATCTAGTGGAAGAAGATAATAGAACCATTGTTGGCCTCTATTCTTTCATTTAAAATACGTATGAGATAAGTACAATATTGTATATTTTGTGTTTTGTTTTTTGATGATTTAAAAATAATGAAGAGGAAACTATAATTTGCACTTTTGGAACAGGCCTGTTCGTTTAGTCAGATTGAATAAGGACGTTCTCTAATGGCGAAACATTTATTTCAAGTCAACAGTATCGCCAGAGATTTAAAAACGCAAACATGAGGACACACTTCACTTAAGTTTAGGTACACCTTGTGAGATATTTTATACTTTTTTTTCATTTTATTCATTGACACGTGTTACTTTTCTTTTGTCTTATGTTGCGTTATATGAGTCTGAGTTATATTACGTTATGTTTTGATTATATCAAACTCTGGTGCGGCCGAAACAGAGATGCTGAAAACGAGGAACAGCGGAATCTCTACTGACGTCTCACAGACTTGCCTTCCCGGTGTGGACATTTCAGTGCCGCTGTTAACACGTCGGAACAAGAATTTGAGACATCAGTTATGGGTCATACGACCAGGTCAGTTGGCGTAGCTTGGGACACTATGTGTTTGTTTTCAACGGTGAAAGGAAGCATCGCTCTTCACTGCTTGTAGACCTCCTTACAGCCAGTTTTGTTCAATTTAAGAGGCTTTAAAGTTTGTACTGCCCGCCCACATATTATGTTAATTCTAATCAGGCGCTCGACAATGTTTGAGCATGGAGTTTTTTGGTATCATTTCAAATCGCACTCATTTTTCCCTTCTGTGATAAAATGATACTCATTTATCATGAAAAGAAGTCGAGATGTTTACAGCAGAAAGAGGTGAGGGTCGCCTGGTGTCAGAGGTAAAATTAGCGAGAAAATGGCCGCCAAAATTTAATAAATTTCAAAACTTGAATAATGTGCTTGGAAACTGCAAATCTGCATATCTTTCTTCTGTGCCTTTGCTCGATATTTTTTTTTAATTCCATACAGATGTGGGGTTTTTTTTTTAATTGACATAAAATCTGTTGACCGATATGAAAATTTAAAAAGCATTAAGAGATAAAAAATATTGCCCTACCAGCTGAAAAATGCCGGTTATTTTTATTTCAGTATTTTGAAGAGTACCTGATTTCACCACCATACCAGACGTCGATATCCAAGCGACACATTATATAACACCTTCAATACCTGGGAATCCCCACGGCTCATCATAATTACCAAATCACCAAACAGTGGGAGGTACCACCCTGGTTAGCAAGCACTGTTGTAATCCCACTGAACAGCCCCCGTCCACTTCAATCTACCCCCCCCCCCCGCGCCTCTCCTTAAATAAAAAAGGTACTCGCCCGTTATTCTGACGTTTTTTTTTCAATGGGTGGGAACCATTGGCAACGTTTGCAAAATTCTAAATGTCC